ATGATATAGTAATGATTCTCCACTACATTAGATAACTATGGGTATTTTGATTGAGAATTGGGCAAATTTGGCACTGAAAAAGAAAGGAAGAGACTGGAACTGGAAGTTTTCCTCCAAATCATGATACACATATTAAATTTGGAAGTGCAGTGCTCAGCTCTGCACTCAGGTCAGCTATTATTCACTGGAGCACACACCCACAGACCTGTTTCCTTCCATTTAGCTTGAGAGCCTGATTTTTCTCTGCAAGGCTCAAAGTCAGCTCTGATTTTTTAAAGATCAAATTCCACACACTCATCAATATTTCCTAAAAAACGATACAGTTAACATGCCTACAATAGGAATTTAAATAGACATATAATTAAAATACCAATTAAGTAAAGAGGTACTATATTAGCAACACTGAAGAAAATAGAAGGATTTAGAAAAATCAAAATACTGAGAGTGAAGATTTTAAAATATGTATGCATTCCTTCTTGACACTCCTCCCCTAAAAAGGTGGTGCCTACTTCCACTATCCTGGACTGTGGGCTGCAGTTAGTGACTATTTTAATGTATAGGATGAGGTGGAAGTGACAGTGTTTGACTTCCAAAACTGGGCCATAAAATCCTTTGCAGCTTCGTTTCTGTCTTGGGTCCCTCTCCTCAGGGGACCCAGCAGCCTTGTTTGGAGGAAACTCAAGAAGCCCTATGGAGAGGTCCAAGTAGTAAGGAATCAAATCAAGACCTCCTGCCAACTGCCGGCACAAACTTGTCAGCCATGTGAGTGAGTAATTTTGGAATAGAATCCCCCAGTCGCAGGCAAGCCTTAAAATGCCCGTAACCCCAGCCAACAGCGTGACTGAAACCTTATGAGAGAACCCCGAGCCAAAACCACACAGCTAAGCTGCTCCTAAATTCCTGACCAACAGAAAACTGTGTGATAATAAAAGTTTAATTTTTCAAAGCCACTACATTTTGGGGTAGTGTATTATGCAGCCATACATGATTTATACACAAATGTGATCTAAATTGAGATTTTACTATGAGATACTTAACCTAATTCACTTGAGGAAAAAAGAAGACAAAGCTCATAGTGAACTAGAGGGAGATTTTGATATGTAGACATGAAGAAAATAAGTAGAAAAGCAAATATTAAATAGGAAATTGACTATAAGCAGGTCACACCTTGTGGAACAGACCGGCTAGCTGTTCAAACCCATTTCTTCTTTCTCCCAGATATACTCTGCTGGACTACATTTCCCAGCCTCCCTTAAAGCTGGATGTGGCAATAAAACCAAGTGCTAACCAACGGGACTGAAAACCTCCCACAAAATCTCCAATGCTGTCCCTTTTTCTGTCTGCCAGCTAGATATTAACAACCAGAGTAATCTTGGAAGATGACAGAGACTCTATCAGCCTAAGGTTCTCAGTAATAGTGAAGCAGACAGCCTCCCAAACCAGGCTGCTGGAGGATTTACCCCTTTAATGTGGCTTCTGTAAGTTCTTAGGCAGCTTCATCCAGTCACCAGATTGAGAAGGGAAGTGCACAAAGGCCTGCTGGTTTCTTTACCACTAGAGCCAGAAGGTAACTCTCCTCACTTTGCTCACATTGCTTTGATGCTAATTAGCCATTTGGACCTACCTAAGTGGAAAGATAACTGGGAAATGCATCCCTTGTTTAGGCTGCTGTTCTCTAGCAAAAACTCTACACAAAGTGAATAGGCAAGGATCTTTGGCAGATGTGCCATAGTCTCTACATTCCTTTAATTTTTTTTCTTTTCCTTTTTCTTTTTCTTTTTTTTTTTTTTTTTCTCTAGAGACCAGGTCTCACTCTGTTGCCCAGGCAGGTCTCCAACTCCTGGCCTTAAGCGATCCTCCTGCCTCAGCCTCCCAAAGTGTGATTACAGGTGTGAGCCACAACACTTAGCTAGTCTATCCTTTCTTACACAAGAAGACTCAACTCCCAAGGAGGAGGACTAAAGGACCCATCCAGATCATGCCTCCAGCTCCAAATCCAAGACCTCCAAAATGTACATAGTCTTCTCACAAAGTTGCCAGATGTTGTGATCTGGCAAACTATAAACAGAAGATATGTTACACCTCATATAAAACATATACTAATGGAACAGGAACATGATAACCATAAGAAACAATCTGACATAATCATTGGTTCATAAGGATGTTGGAACTTTGTCAGTCAGGCATTGTGCTGTACTTCTGCCTTGTGGGTGGGGTAAATTCCTTGGATATGCCCTGTCCTTCTTTCTGGAAGGAATCACTTGTCCATTGTTTCCAAGCCCCCTCATTCAAGGCCCTAGGAGTTTCTTCCTTTTATCTATGGCCACATCTAAAATAAATATTCAGGAACATACCCTCTTTCGGGGCTGTTCTAGCACATTTTCTAGCCTGTTTCCTACTGCCACAAGTTTGGGGACTCAAGTGTTGTTTATTAAGGCTCAAATAGACTAAGGCTCATGGGTTCTTTGGCAATGTATTTCCCTTACAAACTTAGACTTTTGCGTTACTTGCTTCCCATCAGTTCTGTGTGCCAATAACCATATTAAAATTTTCCTGCCACCAGTCTGAGTTGTTTCTTTGTTTCCTGACCCATAACTTCTCTTTTTCAGCTCAGCGATGCTCTTTTGAGATTATGAGAAATAGCTTTGACCTCATAATGCTGTTTGACATAAGGCAGCATCACTACTGAACTTTTATCACTCAGCTTCATATTTTACTGTTTAGGGTCTAGCCTCTGTCTCTCCTAGTCCCCTTATATTCTGTTCGCAACCAGGAAATTCTTTCCTGAGCTCATCATTTGTATAAGGTATGGCCGAAGGTTGGGGGTCCTACCCTCTTCCTGCTCTGGTACCCTGGTTTCCCTTCTATGGATCCACTCAGCAGCAGGGGGCATCACTGATTATGTCATTTCAGTATCAGGAGAAAATGAGTTCAATTTTCAGCAACTGTTCTTAATGTCATTTGTATTCCAGAACAGTTAGTTTTGCTAATTTGGCAGAATGTGGACAAGGTTCAATAAAATTCAAAGATAAATATAAACACATGAACTTTGTGGTCTGGGTAAATGGCAAGGAAGAACAGTCTTTTCTCAGAGTGCTCATTGAATAGAATCTTTTAGTTTTAACACTATGAATGTTAAAAACAATTCAACCAAATGACAGGATTTTGTTGGGTTTTGCTATGGTAAAAGCTATTTTGTTTAAAAGATAATTAGGCTGGGCACCATGGCTCTCACTTGTTTGGGCGGCCGAGGCAGGTGCATCACTTGAGTTAAGGAGTTTGAGACCAGCCTGGCCAACATGGTGAAACCTTGTCTTTACTAAAAATACAAAAATTAGCCAAGAGTGGTGGCAGGTGCCTGTAATCCCAGCTACTGGGGAGGCTGAGGCAGGAAAATTGTTTGAACCCAAGAGATTGAAGTTGCAGTGAGCCAAGATCATGCCAGTGCACTCCAGCCTGGGCAACAGAGTGAGATTCTGTCTTAAAACAAAACAAAAGATAATTAAATATTAATATTTTGCCACATGGCATGCTGATGATTGGAGTTATGACTATTCAAGGTCTAGAGGATTGTAGTATAAGATATTTACATACCATACTCCACAATTAAACCAAAGACTGTTTTCCAAGTTGTTTTTCCGTTCATGAAGGGAGATGTAAATTTCTTTCTTGGAGGGATGTATTTATCGTGGTGGAAGTAAAAGACATCCAAATGAGCAGTTTCCACATGATGATGATTATGATGAAGGAAGGAGAGAAAGAGGGAGAAAAAGGAGGAAGAGGAAATTAAGAAGGAAAAGGAGGATGAGGAGGAAAAAGGACCATAAGAAAAAAAATAATTATGTTTTATCAAGATGATCAGTAATCATCTGACAGTTGGCCCAATTCAGTTTTTTGTCAGCTGATAATCAACATGAACATATAGGATCCCAAGTACCTACAAAAATTCATATTCTGCAGTTACAAAGAACCTCACTTAAGATAATGATAGCTGTTAGGATGGAATACCAGAAAAGGATTTTTTTTTTTCATTTTTCTCTAACTTTCCTTATTTAAGTTCTATCAGAGTCTTGCAACGCAAACAGTATTATTCTCATTTTACAGATGAAGAAACTTGGCTCAGATGTCATTACAAAAGTAGAGGAGCAGGCATTCAAACTTCAGGTAGTCTGTCTCCATGGTTCTGAAGCCTTTATTATATGACGTGTTGTGGAGATTATGCAAGACATTGCACATGAATGCAGAATGCCTGGCACATAATAAGCACTCAAATGTGACTTTCTCTCTGTCCCTGGATCCCTTACTGGAGACTTACTTTCTATGTGCACAACAGTGCACTGTTGTGCACATAGAAAGAGTAACTACATTTTCTTTTCAATTTCAAGGAAAAGTGTCAGCATAAGCTTATTTGAACCTCATTAGGGATAAGAAGTAGGATGGCTGTGAGTTCTGATAGTTTTGACATATATTTTGATAAATCACTATATTACCTAAAAGCAAAATAGTGATATGATTTCTTTATAGGAAGTGTTCCTTATTTCTCAGATCACAAGCCCGCTATTCTTTTTAGTTTATAAAATGATAAGCACAAAATAAAACAGCTAGTATAAATTGATTTTTATAAGGGTCATAGTCCTTCTAAATTTGAGTAAATATGGAATTTTAGTGAAGGAGTCCCAGATTTTAATTCTTTTCCTACTGCTTATTATATAACTTTGGCCAGTTATTTGACATTCTCCAACTTCAGTTTTTCATTTGTAAAATGCAGATACTTGCCTTGCAGATATGCTGTGAGAATTAAATGAGGTGAGGTATAAATTAAATAATACATAGTAAGGACCCAAGAAAGTAAGCACTTCCTCCTGTCAGTGAGCTGAAATGACAAATGTTGGCTTAATCTCCTTTTTATGATTAAATAATACAATAAAATCATATAGGTAATATTAAAGTATAATTATGACAATTTCTTTTTAAGCATTTTTAATAAAGACCTACCAAATTGTGCCTTCTCTAGAGATCTTTAGCATTTTTTGGCCCCCATTATAAATGTATTAACATTAAATTGATCAAGTGATCATTAGAGAAGACGAGAATATTTATGTTCATTGATACGTACACTGCTTGAACAAAACAAAGACCTTAGAAATTATGGTAGTCATTAGTGCCATTTGCCAAACACTCCCAATTCTCATTTCAGGGTTCATGCTGGAACTGCATTTCCTGGCTTAAGTGGGACTATATGACTAGTCCTGACTAAATACGTGTTGACCTGGTGCAGTGTCTCTTTCAGACTCTTTTCCCCTCCAGCTTGGCAACAAGGGGCACGTAAAAAGGTGGCTGCATCAGACTGGGTCCCCCTGACTGCTGACCTACAAGAGTCGTATAGCGAGAGGCTGTGGAATTGTAACAGCATCACTTAGCTTATTCCGAATGATCAGAGGTGGTTAATAAAACCCAAAAGAACTTCTAGAAGCAAATAGATATCGAAGGAAGTAGACTTTCTTCCTATAGAGTATGTAGATAAGAATCTTGATCAAATTTTTATTCAAAATAGATGGAACAAGATATGGGGCTCACTTCCAAATGTCTCTTTAGAGTTTTTGACCTTGACAGCACTTACATATAATAAGGATAAAATTCCGGTTAATAATATAAATTGTGATACATTCTTCAAATGAAAATGGAGATCAAAATTAGATTACAAGAAGATTAAAAGTAGGTGCATAAGTTGATATCTATTTCTCACCTAAAAGCTTTCTAGACACTCAGATAAGTGTTTTTAAAAAATATTTATTCATGTATTTTTTCCATATCATAAAATGTATACTCTAAGTTTAATACTGCGTGATTTAGAGAAACCCAAATAACTTGGACTATTTCCTATAAAACAACAAAAAATAAGGCACAGTCTACATTATATAGTGAAATGGTAGCAAGAAGAATGACAAACCTAAATTAGGGGTAAATATTCATTTTAATTTTTTTGGACAAATACTTTCAAATACAATTTTAAAAGATCAAATCAGCATTACAGATTCCAATTTAAATTCAACTTAATAAACACAATAAAGCATTTGAGTAGTTTTATTTTAAAATTATATGACACACTTGTTATTAACATATAAGGCATCAAGTGCCCTAAGAAAGAGCTCATAACCTTAGTAATTGCCCTTGACAATATCAAAAAGCACATAATCAATGTCAAATTATTTTTGTTTGGTAAGAAAAGTAAAATTAAAAGCACGATGAGAACCACAGGGTACACACTGTAAATACACAATATGTAATAATTCATCTTTCTTTCTTACATGACATTTGTTTGGAGCCTGGCTAGGAAGCCTGAAGATAGCAGTGAAAAAATAGGGAGAGCTGTTCCTGAAACACAGGCGTGTTACCCAAACTTGAAACAAAGGAAGATACTCCCCATAGTCCCCTGAAATAAAATAACGATTCATGGTAAAATAATTTCCAAATATCTCACACTCTTATAAGTCTGAAATTGAGAAGTTAAAAATAAATCAATAAACATCTGTGGGAGGCTGAACAACCAAAACAGGTTTATAATAATTATGGCATCTCATTCTGAGGCTGATTCCAAATTCTTCATTCATGAGTTGTGAAAGACTTCTCTTCTTCTTAATGTCAACAGTAAGGCATGCCAAATTGCTATAATAAAATTATTCTAACGATAACTTTGGGTATTAAAGCTGTATAACTATAAAATATAGTCTGAATATACATAGACTTGAGTGCACATAAATCTGTACACAAACATAAACCATGAGTACACTCAAGTGTAAGCCACAGATTTTTGAAACCAGTTTCATGTGTTTAAAATAACATCTTGCTTTTTACAGTGTCAATGTGTCAATGCACTAGGCAGGCAAATTATTTCCCAAGACTTATAAAATTTGGGAGAAGATATTATAGAATATTATGAATCATAAAATGATACAGCTAAAAATCAGCGGAAAGACAATGATATGTTAATTCTCTTTCTTAAGTACTCTTTTTACACTAGGAAAAGCCGCCAGTGAGAGTTCATTATAATCTTCTCATCATAGTCAATTTTTATGTCCAATTCTGGGAAAGGTTAAACCCATTACAGAGAACAGTAAGTATTGATAGTATTACATCTTGCTGTAATAGGTGAACCATTGGCAAAGGTTGTGATCTTTTCTGTCAGACCACATATTTTTGATGGCATTAATTGCTGCAATGAAATCTGACCTTCAGGTTGAAAAACGTTCTCCTGAGAGATATACATATAGAACGTTTTTTAAACTTTAGACAATTAATCCAAGTAAAGTTTTGCATACACCCACCATTGCACATGTGAAAGATGAAGACCAAAATGTTCACATGCTCCTGCCTAGAAGTTTTGCTTGTCGGAAAGAGGTTAAAAAAAAAGTAGAGCCATTGGGTCTAGGCTTTTAATTCTCAGTGTTTAACTAGCATGGTGCTCAGTCACTCATTTATCAAGATTAAGTCACCCCTTATTCTGGGGGACTGAGGTAAAGGCACACATAAGTTTGGTAGCACAGTCTCTTTTCAGAAGTTGTACCTTGAAGGGCATGTCCCAGCACTGGTCCAATTGGGTCCCTAAAACAAGTAAGTATGAGGGAGATGGACTCATATTTTAAGCAGACAGCAAAGCATTTGATATCAAGGCAAGTAACTTGATAGTACAGAATAAAGGGTTATAGCAGTCATGCGGGTAAAAGCAACCATGGCCTCCAAGAATTTCATGGTTCCAAGCAGTGTTGTCTTCCTCTAAACTATAAATCAACTATGCAGTGGGGAACATGAAGAAAAGCTGTTCTTTACATGAGGGTCCAGTACATCTTATTACGTGATCTGCTTTCAGAGCTCCCAATGGGTGGAAAGGACACACAGCACTGCAAAGAAAACTCTTTGCAAACTCTACCACTAACAGTTTAAGGTGCTCTAAAAAGAACTGGCTTATAAAGATATTAGGAGCCTTAAATCATCCATCAGCAGCATGTAGATCCCAGTAATAAAGGAGAAAGACAGGTTTCTTTCTGTAACTCACCCCATTGGTCCATACTGCTGAAAGATGAGCTGTCTTCTCATTGAGATTAGGAAGATGACTCTGAGTTTAGATTTCTAAAACCATGTAAATAAGCTAAAGACCTAGAACCACTGAAAAACGTTTTTCTTCCCTAGGTCTAGCAATAAAAACTTTTATAGGTAACAACCAGCACCATGTTGAAGAGACAGATGGAAGGTCATAAATCTCCATGAAGGATGCAAGACCAACACCATAGCTATTGTATGCCCAATGTCTGTAGAATGTATCCCCTGGTCTTGCCAAAGTACCTCTAGAGCCAAAAACATTCTTTGTCAAATTGGGAACAACAGGAAATAAAGCACATGACTTTTCTTTGCCTGTGTTACCATCATTTTAAATTCAAGTAATCTTCATATTGAATTCAGGCACTGCCAGGATGGATAAACCAAATACCCAGTGAAAAGTCGATTAAGGTAAGTATCTGAATAATGTCACCACAGCCCAAAAGGAGTCATTCAGATGATGTTCTAAATCATGTAATGTGTAATGGTTTGCCCTCAGATAAGCAGAACCTTAAAAGAGATGTGCTCTGTATGTTAGCAGATTTAAACAATGTTGAAATATGCATTTACATACCACATTTCAATTTTAAATTTTAAAGAAAATTATAGAGTTCTGGGGAAAAGAAAGGAAATGTATTTCGACTTGTTAGGTCTTTTCCTTCCCTGTTGAATTTTTTTTTTTTCCAAAATGGCATTTTTCAAAATGTTGCCTCTAGATCACATCTATATTATTTTGTAGTCCTGCAAGATTCATTAAATGCTTCCATAGGAAAAGCTTTATCATCAAGTGAAAAGACTTCCTAACACTTGATTCCCAAACTCCTCTTCCTTCATAAACTGAAAACCGATTCCACATTAATTCAGTTTAGTTTGCCATTTGGCTAATTAATCCTGTTTCACCAATAAATAAAAACAAAACTCAGCTGATCTCATTTAGCTTCTATGAATAAACATTAGTTTTTTCTTTAATGCCTTCTCTCTTTTTTTTTAATGCCTTCTTTTTTTAACACACAGCTCAGACCTACTCACTCAGCAGATCGTTTCCTTCTTATCTCAACATCATCCAAAGTGGATCCTTAAGCAGGCTAGAGCTGGACTTAAAAACCTTCAGAATATAAAACTTATACCACTGGTAAGGCAGCCTTAACAAAAATCATGAAATGAGACTCCCAGTAAAACAAAGTTTGTTGAAAAAGCACAAGGAAACAGCAATGGAAAGCAAAAATCATGTTTATGTCATCTCAATTCTTTCTTTTCAGTAATCAGTATTGCTCTATAACATAAGGCAATTAACTACATCTAGCTTCCTGATTCTCATATAATTTCTCATTTTTACCTAATAATTCTTTCATATACCCACCCTCTCTTTTTGCTATCTTCTGAGTCTCCCTTTTTGTATTTCACCTCAACCCTTAGTCATATGCAGCACACCACACTCATCAAATCAATCTCTGATACCCATGAGAGCTCATTCACATAAATATCCTGATTCACACATTTTGCCAAAGTCACCCATGTATTCCACAGTTGTCCACAACAACACAAACTTCAGACATTTGAAATAGCCTTTAAAAATCTACAAAGAAATCACTTTCTTAATTCCTCATTCCTGCTGTCTCATACCAATTCCCAGCTCCTATCCTCTTTAAGAATGACCCCCTGATCCTGTTAATGCAATCATGGACGTTAGGACAACTCCTACAGCACAAGTTGCAAAAACCTCCAGGCAGAGTTGCAAGATGTAAGGTATTTCTGAGGCTGCATTTCCCATCCCTTTTCTGAATCGTCACCATAATGAGGCGGCATGTTACTGAACACCCAGTGCATGTCTTGCACAGTGAGCACCTTGCTCATCATGCTGCTCTTAGAGAAGAGTTTGTGCTTTATGAGGCAAGAGTTCACAGTTACTGAATGACACCTAGACCACTGTGAGTGAGAGGTGAGTTCTGACAATGACTACAGTCCCCATTAAATCAGTGTATTTAATCTTTCCTTTTCTTTTCTGTCTTGTTTTTTTTGGCTTTAGGCTTAAGGACTGCTGCTACATGAGGAAAGCGCTTGTTGCTTAGCCTAGAGCAAGTGATACAGCCTGCTAGGCACAGTCTCCAAAAGTCTAGCTGCAATTCTATTGGTGGTTTTCCCCAAACAGCAGTAACAAGATGTCACCTGGAAGCACACCAGAGCCAATCATGACTCAGGCCTGCCTAGATGTTTAGATGTCTGGAAATATATTTAAAATGTTTCACGCCTTGCCTCTTTGGTGTGAGAACCAGCGGACTTCAAGAGCACAGATAGCCAATATGATGGCAAAATCACAAAATATAAAATTTATATCAGTAACTAATTTGACTTCATTTTAAAAAAGAGCATGTGACCCTGGCTAATGCCTGGCACTAACACTGTGGTTTAAATTCACATTGGTCTTACAATGATTTACATAATTTTCTTTTATTAGAAAGTTTATCCCAATAACTTAATTACCATTTTTGAATACAGGAATAATTTCAAACATAACATTTTTTACAATAAGAAAAGCCCAACATCCTCAAACTTCAAAATATTCAAACTAAAAATTCCATATTTTAGTGTTTAGCCAAATTACAAGAACGATAATTTAGCAAGAAAATGGATAAGCACCTTTGAGAATTAAACATAAGCCTTATTATTGATTAGTGCTTAGTTCTTTTTCACAAAATAGATTAGCAATTGATCCTACTGTGTGTAGAATCACCTAGTGTCCAAAGAATAACATCACATATCTGTGTAAAAGAAATAATTTGTATACTGGGTCATTAGAAATATTTTTCTATCGAAGTAGAAGTTCTTGGCCATTACAGATTAATTAGCCTTCAGCGCTTCAGAAGGACAGGTGTGGCTGGTTGTGGTTTCTTATACATCTTACATGGCTTTTCTTCTAAATAGAAGACACATGGAGAACAAAAACACTCACTGGTTTGTGAAATAAACTTTTCTTGCCAGGCAAATAAATTGCACTGTGAATTTTTATAAATTAACTTCTTTTTTCATATTACAAAATGCCAAGGCAGACTCTCAAGATATTCACAACCAGAATTAACTCTGTACAGCGAGCGCATCTTCCTCTACCAAGGACAGTTCCAGAGTGTTTTCATTCGTGCTGGTTTTCATCCTGAAGTTGAAAGAACCATAGAGTTTTGCAGACTCTTTGGAAGAGGCAAATCTGTTTCGACGATAGAGCTCCCCCTTCCACATGGACATCATTAGCAAGCAGGACAGGACGACACCCCCCAGCGTGAGGAGGCAGAGCCCCGCAATCACACAGCGGTCCAGGTGAGCCCCCAGCCTCGCACTCTCCTTCTCCAGGCGCTCCATCTCCCGGGCTGCCACAGTGTTGGGGTCCACAGTCACTTCTCGTGGGACGATGTAAGAGATAATCACCAGCAGGATCCCGGTGACTAAGAACAAGATGGCGCTGATGAAACCATAGTCTATAGATTTCCCTGAAGACGTGGCTTCTGAACTTGCATCGTCCTCCTCTTCAGATATCAAAGATATGGCAGCCTCTTGGGACCACTCATTTGGATTTTCCCAGCCAAGCTCCCCAGGGTGATTATGCCCCTTTGCTGATGGCGAGCTCCGGTTCCGCTGCTCCAAGTTAATGTTTTTGTCCACATAGGTAAAAGAAGTTTCTAATTCCTGGCTGCAGCAGTTACAGACTTTCCGTTCCGCTGTTATTTGGTTGTTTCCTGAGTGGAGAGGTCCTGGTGGAAAGGTGTCTGGCTGAAGAGTACTGTTTTGCAGAGAGGAGGAGGGGGATGCTGGAGAAGAACTAAGTTTAGACCCTTGCATCTCAGTTGCTCTTGGGGTGGATGCACACTGTCTCTGACAGCAGAGAGCAGCTCTCGTGGCTGCTGTATCTGCCTGGTCACCAGGCAGCCCTCTTGAACTCCAGTCCCTAGCATCCCAGAGGTCTGCCTGGTTGCTCTTCTTAGCAAGGTAGTGGAGCTCCATGAGAGCTAGTCAGACATCCCCCAGCAGCTTCCGGAAAGTCTGCCAACAGCAACAGAGTTAAATGAGAACCCAACAGAAGCTAAGGTTGTACTTCCAGGAATGTTGCTCCTGGGGTCCCCATTTCCTTCACAGCTGCACCTGTTTAGCCCCTTTTCCACTTCAAACAGGCAAAAGAAGGGAGGGGATACCTAGTGGCAGGAAAGTGTAGAGAGGGCAAATGCTCTCACTTGTCATCGTGATTAACACTGAGAAACTTAGGTCAGGGTAGAAAGGCGCATGGAGGAAGTGGCAGTGTCTATTGAGAAATAATACTGCCATCACCAAGCCAAATTTATCCAAGGACTCACACATTCCTGCAAAAGGATCCCTCAAACGAGAAGGCAGGTTTCCTGTAAAAAGACAAATGAGAAAGGCAAGAGCCCTTTTGAGCAGAGCTGCCGATTTTCTGGACGACTTAGGGAAGTATAGACTTCTTAATTCAATTAGACTGTAAGTGTTTACATTCTCCCTAGTTCAGAACAGATTCTAATACAGATTAGCTTTAGAGCATCACCATGAGTGAACGATTATAACCCATTATCAGCTGGGCAGGAACTCAGCATTTTGATTCCGTAGCTCTGAAGTAGATGAAAAAGGCCAGCTTAATCAGCCACCTCAGCTAACCTTATACCTCATACATCCAATGACCCTTGTCACACAGCCCTGTATTTACAAGACCATATGCTGCTTATTCACTGTGTTTCTACTCAGCCCGATTCCCTCACTGCTCCACGGGGGAAGCATGTTCTGGACCCCAAAGCATATAGGCAACAGACCTTACTGCAATCCCTGCAAAATACAGTGGGCCAACCCACTCCTTCACACACACACCTGCCTGCTCCAGTTGCAGGATCTGTTACTCCCGTTCCCTGGGTCTGTATTCCTCCCTCTCTGCATGCTTTGCTACCACACATGCACAAGAAATTGACCATCGGAATAGTTTTACAAACCCAATCTAGAAGTGAACTGAAAATAAAAGACAAACTATAAACCCACAGAGTAAGAGTTCTGTGGAGGTAAATAGATGAGAAGCTATATCCAAGGTTACCTCTGGAATTTTATAAACATGTCACTCCTCACCCCCCACTGCATCAAGGGGCATTTCTGGGAGAGAACTTTGATTTGAGCAGAAAACCATCTGCCTATCTTTCTCTGCCTCTGCCATGTTTCCAGGGAATAAAAATTCACCTTCCACTATCATTAAATAGATTTTAACCAAAGGCTCCTTTTATTTTGCTTCCAAATCCAGGGTGATAATTGATTTAGTCAACGGCTTGAGGCTTCTTATGATTCAAAATCCACAGCTCCAAAGCTGGTAACAGAAGCACAGGCAAGGGTCACCTAAGGTCAACCTGGCAACTCAAAATATGGGAGAGGGAATCGACACGTTTTCTGCTACACACACGAGTTTGTTTAAAACAAAACAAAACAGAAAACGTTTTTCTCCTGTTATCGGAGTTTCTCTACAGTGAAAACAGCAAAAAAACAACAGGGCAAAAGAATCACTACTAAACTAGAACAAACCCCCACTAAAGAATCCCTCAATGAATGAAGTGATGGTAACAGGCTTCATCAATTACCGAGAACTCTTCTTCCAGTTTTCTCAGGCATTAGGGGCTCTGATTAACCTTTGGTACAATTAACTCATCACACTAGACTACCTTGGATAAAATCAGCAGGGTTCTTTGAGACTTTCAATTTATAACAAAAGAGGAGAGAAATCCCCACTTAATTCCCTACGGCCGCCTCTACCTCTCTTTAAAGAAAAGCTACTCCCGCTTGTTCGCTTGTTCTACCGGAGGTATGTTAGCAGCGCAGTCGATTTCCTTTGCAGCTCCCTAATCCGGGGCTTCCATTCTCAGTGGAGAATGGATAATCCCAGGAGACCAGCTAAAGACTCTTTTCTTCCGTCCTCTCCCTCTTTTTCCTCTGATCTGCTTAAAAGCCCAGTTAACGACATTGCACCTTAAAGCGAGGGGACATGCACTTTCCCTCGTCCATCTGTCATCAATTAAAAGCATTAATATTTGCTTTACACTGACACAGGCAAGGCTGGTCTCGGGGAGGCGACCTCTGGATGTGCTCTGTGCGAGCTGAGCCGGAAGACCGAGCCCCAAGCACCGGGCAGCGGTGCCCCCCGCAGGCGCCTAGGGATCCGGCGATCCATTTCTGGTGAACTCTGCGCCCACTGAGGGACTCGAGGTAGGGATGTGTCCGCCTAGTACCGGGAGACGAAGCAGACACCTTGGGCAGGGAGCGGGGACATGCGCTCCAGCTCCGCTAGGCTACAGAGCTCTCACCCTCGCACCCAAAGCCTCCTCCCCATCCTACTCCCCGCCACTCACCTTCTGCTTCGGCCACCCGGTGCGGCTCCAGCACCCCACGCTCTCCCGGCACGGCTCCCGGAGAAAGTCCCCCAATCACCAGCCGCCGCACTTGTAGCCTCTGCACGCCCCTCCGCTCCGTGGGGTGGGCAGCGCCCGCCGCGGAGGGGGGGGGGGGGGCGGGGCGGGGCGCTCCCGGAGCATCCCGGGAGTTGTAGGCCAGGGGCGGTTCCTGCATCCCTCCTGTTTCTGTCTCCTCCCACGCCTTCTGGGTTTTACCTTCCTGCGGATGAGTTCCCGCCATACCCTCTTACTCCTCCCCAGCACTTAAGAAGACAGCACTGTTTTCTAAGCTCAGAGTGGAGTTCCCTAGCCTCAGGTGTGGCCACAAGACTGTGAAAAGGAAAGTATATTTGGCTCCAAATGTGCCAGATAATTTGCATATTTTGTCTTTTTAATAGTCAAAACATATCTTCCAAGTAGATTTTATTAATCCTCATTTTACAGATGTGCAACAGGCTCAGAGAGGGCAAGTGTCTCCTCCACAGTTACCAAGACCAACAGCAGCTTCTGAAATTGCATCCAGGAATCAGTTTGGAAAGTCAATGCATTTCTCACAAAATCAGAAGAAATGTGACCATTAAGGGTAAGAGATTGTCCCATGTACCAGCACATTCCCTGTACTTAGCACAGTGGTATTCATTGAATGTATGAATAATAATGACGCAAAATAACAGTTAACATAAATAGCGCTTATTATTGTCAGGCTCTCTTCTAAGCACTATAGATACATTGTCTCATTTAATGGTCACAATATATTGTTAAAGTATTATTAAAAAAAATCCTCATTTTAACAGAAGAGGAAACTGAGTTACAAAGAAGTAGAATAATTTGCCCAATGTCAAACAACTAATACTTAGCAGAGGTGGGGGGATGAACACCAACAGATTCTAAGCATTATACTATATGGAATGAATGGAAGAAAGACCAGAAGGCCAGAATACAAGGTGTCAGGAATAAAGGAAATCTGAAGGTTGAATCTCCTGAATTGTGACTTTTAGGCTAGGACAAGGTAACTGTGTCACCAACCTCTTTCAACCAGAGTGGACTGCAACAGCCAACAGCCACTGAAAGCCCAGGGTATGTGTAGCTTATAGACAATCTCCAGTTTTCCAGCATCCTGTTGGGACAGTTCTAGGGGAGCAAAAAAGGATTATAGTATGGATAGGCCGGGCACGATGGCTCACGCCTGTAATGCCAGCACTTTGGGAGGCCGAGGCGGGCAGATCACAAGGTCAGGAAATCGAGACCATCCTGGCCAACATGGTGAAACGCCGTCTCTACTAAAATACAAAAAATTAGCTGGGCGTGGTGGCACGTGCCTGTAGTCCCAGCTACTTGGGAGGCTGAGGCAGGGAATCGCTTGAAGTCGGAGGCGGAGGTTGCAGTGAGAGGAGATCAAGCCACTGCACTCCAGCCTGGTGACAGAGCAAGACTCCGTCAAAAAAAAAAGAAAGAAAGAAAGAAAGAAGGGATTATAGTATGTACGACATTTTGCTTGTAGCTCACATACTGTGGTTGCTTGCTTTCAAAAGAGATATCGATCTCCTTTAAAGACAATTATGTTGGTATTTCTTTACATTGAATAGAATCTATAGTCACACGATTACAGGAGTTCACAATCCTGCCTCTTTAAAATTATTTTCCCCCCATATGATTATGTTTGTAGCCAGTGAGGCCCATTTGTTGATAAACATGATAGATGTATTATGACTTCTCCTTTGCTTACTACACAGTTCTCCAGCATGAATATCTTTCCTCCACTACTCTATTCCATCTACACTTCAAGGACTAGTTTATCAAGCCAAATCTACAGGGATGCAGTTCTTAGTACTATGTATGCAAAAAGAAATAAAGAAACTAAGGTGTAGAAGGAACTTGAATTTATGTTGACGAGGAAAAGCTGAAGGAACTTAGGCTATTAGCCATTGAAGAATACTGAGAGGAAACAATAAACTAGCTTTAAATATTCTAAAGTTTCTAAAAATAGAAGAATTCTATAGCATATTTAAAAGGGTAAAAGCAGAACAAATAACAATAATACTATGTTTTTAGTGCTACTATGTTATCATCTTTAATTTTTACACCAACTTCACAAAAGGCAGTATTATTGCACCCGTTTTGCAATGTAGAAATTGAGGCTTGAAAAGATGTAGTTTCTTTCCCAAGGCCTGAAAACTAATATCTGGCAGAGCCAAGATTCTAACTTGGGTCTGTGTGATTCCAGAGACTTGATCTCTTTGCTGACACATTATACTGAGCAATGCTTCACAATCTTTTTTACAGCAGAGTACACATAAGAGGTGATACTATTTATGGCAATGTAATCAACACAGGAGGTTCCTCATGCCCATAGTTCTGGGGCTGTGGGTACTTCAGTCTCTGCAGGACAGCTTGGAGAGCTAAGGAAATAAGTAAATCAGCACACCTGTGACACACTGGCGTGCTGGAGGATGCCAAAGCACTGATCTGAGAAGCTCTGGATAGCACAATTAAATTAAAGAAGGAGGCTGATTTGAGGCTTAGTATAAGGAAGGACATTATTTCTAAAACTTTTAAATTGATGTCTCATGAAGGCAAATTCTCTGTTACTGGTGAGGATAAATAAAAAAAAAAAAAGGAGAGCCATTTTTTAGTGATTTCGTAGAAGGGATTCATCTAGTTGGATTAGAGGACCTCTGTGGTTCCCATGCTGAACTGATTTTAAGTTACATTTTTTTTGTGAAGCCTTTTTCTTCCAAGGATTACACCTCCTATGAACTTTGCTGGGACTTGTCAGTACTGATGTGTTTGATATTTATCATCCACTGCTTTACGACATTTCTTGAATGGCTAGGTAGCCACTGCATGTGGTTTAACTTCTCGCTTAGGTGCCTAAATCTCTAAGGTAATCAATCATAAACTCCTTAAGGTCAGCATCTACATGCTGAAGACCTTACCTCCTGCAGAAAGTGCAGTATTTCTGTTTAGAGGGAAGATGACAAGACTGAACTGAAGACTCAAGATGATTACCTATGATAATACTTGACTATGTACATGTTCTTGAGCATTAAAAATATATCAATTCCATACCAACACTATAAGTCTATGTCTAAAAGTTTCCTGAAAATTGACCCAAGAAGCTTTTTCAAAAGCCTTTCTTGTTCAACATCCTCAACTTATTGTTACCCTTCTAATTGGCTTTCCAGTAGCATAATACGCTTTCTTTTATGCTGTCATTTTAGATATAGAAGAGTATTTCATGTATGTTTTATACTGATTTCTATGTGATCTCTCCAGATAAAATTTAAGCTCCTTGAGAACCAACATAGTCTTTCTATTACTTTGAAGCTATATGTGAGCATGAAATAGTGCAATACATAGGAAACAGTAGTTCCTCAATATATGCTGATAAAACAATTCACAGTTGTAAAATGTTATTTAGAAACCTGCATAATGATTTTGGTCTTATACTAATTTTAATGTCTCACATTTTCCTGTTTACTTATACTCCGTTTCATGTGGGAGGAACAATCATTATTATACTAAGTTAACCAGCTGAAAAATAAGAAAAATTCTGAGAAGTAAATTTATCATGTAAATCAAGGGTACTGCTGGGACTTTTAACAACCAGCCTCTTATAATAATTACTGAGGATGCTTTCCAGTTTCTTTTTCTTCAATAATAATAAGAAGGACTGATTAGTAGACTTAGAATTATTATCATGAGGGGCTTGGTCTAGAGAGGTAAGAAATACATTTTTGGAATAGCCTGGAGGGAGGATCAGTCACTGAATAGGAGTAGCATGAGGAATATGGCCCTATACCCCATACTGGTGCTAAGAATGAATGTGACCATCATTTAGAGAATGAAGATCTTGTTAATGAACAAGATTCTAGGAACAACAAAAAAAAATAGTACTAAATTTGAAAGGTTTCCATTTAATAAGAATGCTTACAGTGGTCAAGCAGGCATGTTACCTAAATAAAGTGACTGAATACAGACAATAGGGATAGGGGAAGATTACCCAAGTTAAGAGCAAGTGCCTTTCCCAAAAGGGGCAGTATCCCCTAACTGTTCTACCTGAGTTTTGTCTTAAGTGAATTTAGACATTAATGAAAGTCAGATATCACAATTTTTTATTCAAAATCCAATATATTTTAAACCCTTAATGGGTCAGAGAAAAAAAATTTATTGGCAACATTTGTTTCCAGTATAACAGACTAGGTAATTTAGACCTACCCACTGCTGAGGATAAGTAGAAAATCCTAACAAAATATATAAAAGTCACTTGATGGAAGGCATAAAAAGTTAACAAGATAGAGAAAAATTACTGGATTAAGATGCAGAGAAGGAGAAAATCTCAGAAAGACAAGTCAGGATCTTGGAACTTCTTTTTAGTTGGGGATGTTACATGAGAGAGGACAGTTTAGCGCAAAAGGCTAAGAAGAGTGGGGATTAGGGTCTTGAACTCACCAAGGGAAGAGGCCATAGTGAATCTGCTCCATTCCCTGAACATTGGGTTGGAATCCTGAAAGGTTGCATCTCAGCAGTGTGTTATATAGGCCCTCACAGGGCATGCATCTCAGTTTGTGAATATCTCAATTTCTAATATTTAACCAAGGTGACTTCAGAGTGCTAAGATATCAGGTACCTGACTGAAGAAAGTAGAATCAGTCTCTGAAAAAATACAGCATCATCTCAAACCAATTTTACCAACAATTTTGCAAATACACTGATACAATAAAAAATAACCATGGAAAAAAAGCCAATCTATAAATGTCACATATTGTATGATTCCCTGTAAATATAACATTTTCAAAATGCCAAAACTATAGAGATGGAGAGCAGATTAGTGGTTGTCAGGGGTTAGAGATGGTGGGAGGTGAGAGGGTGGGTGTGGCTATAAAGGGATACCATGAAGGAGCTTTTTGCGATGATGGAAAAGTTCTGTATCTTGAATAAAAAGTGTACAA